AGACTTGCCCGCTATCAGCCAGCCAGTTAGCTAGTCAGCTCTCTCTGCTTCGCGCAGCGGACGACCCGCGCGCGTCGCTGGGACCCCGCCCGGGGCGACCAGCGCGCGTCGCGGGGACTCCGCGCTGCGCTGCGCCCGCAGCCTTGGATTTTGGAGTGCGCGGGCAAAGAGGAAGGAAAAGAAGAGCCGAAAGCGGGCGCGATCCTCGCAAGAGGCGTGCCGACATGGGCGTCGCGACGTGCGGACGCTGCCGTCGGGGTTCCCGCGGAAGCTGCCTGCGGCGGCCACGCCCAGTGTCACGTGTGTTCGGACAGGCATGCTCGACACTTACACTAGGCGGTTCCATGATCGCATTCATGCAAATATATTCACTCGCGCGCAGACCCATTCATACTCAGATTCCCTCGCGCTCTGACTCACCCGCGTTCTTTCTCTCGTAATCAGATCTATCGTATTCCTTTGCGTTGTGTACCCCGCCACATTTCGGCACACCCCTCATGCGGTTCGTGGCCCCATAGGGAGCGCCACCGAAGAAGATACTCACAATTGCGATACTCACAACTGCATATGGTTGGGTCCTTCGCCAGGATAATTTTGCTCGTGGCTCGGCCGCCGCGAACCTAGCGCGAGGGGAAGCTCAAGACCTAATTATGTACACGGGCAGCCAGGCACCCGGGAGGCGATGCCTTCTGCAGCAAATCTTAATTTTCTGCGTACACCTATATCCCCCACCATGCCTGCACGGAGTGGACGTGTCAGAAAGCTCGTCTCTTGATTGGAAGTTTTCGTCGTGCTTTCTAGGGCTGACCCCCCCTCATCGCAAACACCCCCAGCCCCCAAAAAATCCCCCCCTTCCAGGTTAGCTATCGGATATATCAGGCGCCCTTTTCTGCGATGGGCCTAACATCAGGCACCCAGGACCACCACAAAGAGATCCGGGGCGGCGAGCTGGCCCCCAGGGAAAGGGTTCGGGACATCGGGGGCCACGCATGTAAAAATCAGATCGTCGGATGTCTGGGTGGTCGTCTGGTCCACGGACGGGGGGAAATACCCACCGAAACATGAAGCAACTGCAGCCTAATTCGGCGACGGAGGGCGTCGACCTTGCAAGGGGCCCATCACTGATCCACGGGCCCTGGTCCGCGTTCGCGCTTCAATGATCTCAACGGCGACGGAGCTCGGGGAACGTGACCACCTCACCGATCCTCGCCTGGCCAATCCCATGCCCGGGATCGGTGCATGCGGGCGCCTGGCTTGGCCAGACAGGCGTGGGCACCGATCCAAGGCCCAGGTTGCAGGAAGTGGTGAGCTGGCGAAGGCCATGCGTCGTCGGCGTCGTCGCTGCAGCTGTCGTAGACGTCGCCGTCGTTGTCGTCGTCGTGGTCGTGGGCATCGTGTTGGCAATCCCGTTGCACTCACCTCATGACGCTATCGCCTCTCAGCATTATCGTTCCTCTCGGGTGGGGCTTGGGGTGGCGGACACCCAACCGAAAGAGGTATAATCTGGCCTCTCAACAGCTTGGAAGCGGAACATGCACGCTATTACCTGTAAGGAAGTATTTGCTAAAAGTAAGATGCTGTTGCTCTGTTGCGCGACAACCGCGGCGGCGCGTCCGAATTGCCGAACCACGTCCTGCGCTTGCGCCCTGAATCTCCTGTCAAAAAGCATCTACAGTTCGCTGAAGACATGGCCAAGGGTCGCCGCGACCCCATGGAACGTTCGAGCAAATGCATCGCGGGGTGAACTGGCAGGAAAGACAAGGGCCTCCCACCCCCTGACCGGGCCCTGGCCCCACATCACCACCGCAACCCCAGGGGTTCACCAAGGCAGACCGCGGACTGTACTAAAGCGAGGAAGCGTCTTTACTAAAACGAGGAAGCGGCTTTACTCAAGCGAGGAAACGGCTTTCAAGCGAGGGAGCGGCTTTAGTGAAGGCGCGCCGCTCAACACATACAAAAACCTTTGCCTGAAGCGAAAAGAGAGACTTAGTGAAGCGGAGGGACGGCTGGGACAAAACTGCGTGCAGAAATTTCGCTCCTCCCATGAAATTTGGCGCGGGATTCCAGGAGCGAGGGCCGGGCGCAAGTTCGCCCGTGGGCCCTGGCCCCCGTCGCCGCCGTCGCCGCAATGTTTGTCGCCGCCGCCGTCGCCTCTGCCGCCGTCATCGTCACCGTCGCCGTCGTCGTCGCCGCGACGCCCGCGCATTCACGTTGTTACCAGCGGCGGGTCGCGCTCGACCGCGCGCGCCAATGCGCTCACATTTCCGCTCGTCCGACGGGGGCCCGGGCGGGCATCATGCTTTCTGTCCACCAGGAACCCTTTTTAAAGTAATAATGGGAAAAATACGCCTCTGAAGTTCCCCTGGTAGTCCAGGGCGGTTTCAGCGACCTCGGAGTTTTTGGGCAGTTTTCTGTGGTTCTTGGTAGTTCTCGCGTCTCATGATGTTCTCTGGCAGCGACGGCTCACAGAGGGTGTTGCGGGGGTGCCCGGGTCGTCCTGAACGACCGCAAGAGGGCCGAGTTATGGCCCGAAAACTACCAAGCCCACAAGCGCACCACCACAAGCGGGCTCCGCGGTCGCTCCGTGCTGAGACATCCCCCGCACTGCTCTGTGAACTTGTTGGGGCCAGCCCAGGCTACGTCCGAATTCAGTCTGGGCACAACCCCAAGCCTTTCCACTCTGACCCCTCCCACTCCCTCACGCCAGCGCCTCATCCCGAAACCTGGCCAGCACAGCAGCCTTGTGTGCATGCCAGCTGCTGCCAGGGAGGCGCATGTCCGGAGGCGTTGGGGACCTGCGCCATCAATCGAGAATCTGGCATGGCCCTCCACAATTCTGAACAGCACCGCAGCCTTGTGCGTCTGCTGGCTACTGCCAGGGAGGCGCGCGTCGGGAGGCTTGGGGAACAGCGCTGCACGTGACCGAAAAAAGACCAAGACTGTCGAAGGAGCGATCCATGCGAAATAAGCACAGCTTGCTTCAGGTCCGACCCGCCCGCCCCCTTATAGTCCCCCCTCCGCTTCATGACAGCGCCTCTTCCATTATCCCGAGCAGCACCGTGGCTTGTGTGCCTTCCGGCTGCTGACAGGGAGGCGCGCGTCGAGAGGCGTTGGGGACCTGCGCCAAAACTCGAGAATCTGGTATGGCCCTCCACAATTCTGACCAGCACCGCAGCCTTGTGTGTCTGCTGGCTACTGCCAGGGAGGCGCGCGTCGGGCGGCTTGGGGACCAGCGCGAGACTGGCACCGCTGCATGTGACCGAAGAAGTCAGGGCACCGCTGCATCCGAAATAAACGCAGCTTGATCGAGGCCATTCGCCCCCGCCCCCTACAGCCATAAGCATGATCAAGAAAATCATCAGCTCTGCAGCAAGTTGGCCAAGAAACGCTGGCCCAGCTTTTCGAGAGGAGGTTTCTTATTCAAATGCTCGACTGTAGTCCCCCCTCCCATTCATGACAACGCCTCTTCCATGATCCCGGCCATCACCGCGGCCGCATGTGCCTGCCGGCTGCTGGCAGGGAGGCGTGTGTCGGGAGCCAACACGTCGTTCATGTCTAATCGTGCTCATTTCTAAGTGCGCTCGTTTCTAATTGTTTCCGGCCCCTAGTGGCCAGGAAGAGGCCCAGGATAGAGCAATCAGAAATGAAAGGATCTTGGCCCCCCAAAAAATCAAAGGGGACTTTCGAATGATCAGGAATGAGCAATGCGTATGGGGACAATTGCGCCAGCAATCGAGAATCTGGCATGGCCCTCCACATTTCTGACCAGCACCGCAGCCTTGTGTGTCTGCTGGCTGCTGCCAGGGAGGCGCGCGTCGGGAGGCTTGGGGACCAGCGCTGGCACACTGGAGCCTGACACCGCCGCGCGTGACCCCCCCTAAAAAAAGAACGTCAAGGCATCGCTCCATGCGAAATGAGCCAAGCTTGCTTCAGGTCCGTCCCCCCCGCCCCCCTAGTCCCCCCTCCGCTTCATGACAACGCCTCTTCCATGATTCCGACCAGCACCGTGGCCTTGTGTGCCTGCCGGCTGCTGCCAGGGAGGCGCGCACCTCGGGAGGCTGTGGGGAGCAGGGGTGTCAGCGCCTTCTTCATCCTCACAAGCGCCGCACTCGTGTCTGCTGGCTGCTGACAGGGAGGCGCGCGTCGGGAGGCTCAGGGACCAGCACTGGCAAACGGAAGCCTGGCCCTGTGCGCGTGACCCCTAAAACGCCGAAGCCGTCAAGGCATCGCTTCATGCGAAATAAACATTGCTTGGGGTCCAACCGCTGCCCCAGTACACCACCCCCCAATGTCAGCGCCTCATCCACGACCCCGACAAGCACCGCAGCCTTGTGTGTCTGCCGGCTGCTGCCCGGGAGGCGCGCGTTTCATTTCTGGTGTTTCAAAATGGTGCTCTCGCTGCATCGTGGGCCTCTCGGATCGACGCGTTGCTCCCGTCGTTCAGAGTGGCGCACTCGCGCGGGCCACTTATGGATCCGAGTCTTGCGTCTTTGTGATCCCCCCCCATTATTTCCCCTCCTCCGCCTTCCCCTGGTCCTCCTATTCCTCCCGCTCCTTCCACTCCAGTTCCTGCTGCTGCTGCTGCTGCTGCTGCTGCTGCTGCTGTCCGTCTCGCCCCAGCGCGGGCCACTTTTCTGAATCCGAGTCTTCATCGCTGTCGCCCCCCTCATATCCCTTCTCCGCCTAGCCCTGGTCCTAATTTCCCTCCCGATCCTTCCGCTTTAGCTCCTGCTGCTGCTGCTGCTGCTGTTAATCGTCCTCATCGATTTCCTCCCGCTCGTCCTCCTGCTCACCCGCCACCTGCTGCTCCGGTGCACGCAGCTCCCCTGGTTCAGATTGCGTGCAAACCCGAACGGGTCTTTCTGTGTGAGTCACAGGTCGGCTATGACACGCGTCCGCGGAGAAAGGAACATCAGCGCCATGGGCAGGGATGGGAGGGAGGGATAGGATGTCACATGAGGCGCGAGCACACCTAGCTTGTCGTTTACCCCTCTCCCCGCCCCTTCTCGCGTCAGCGCCTCCTCCAAAAGATCTGGCCAGCACGGCGGCCTGGCCTGCCTGCCGGCTGCTGCAAGGGAGGAGGGAGACGCGACAAGCCTGTGCGCGCCAGGCTCGGCAAATGGCACACGGGCCAAGCGGTGGACAGCAGACCTGGTTAAACATAGGGTTTACGTTGCTCCCATCGTACTTAAGGACCACATCTCAGAAATAATTTCGAGCACCCAGAAAAGTGTCGAAACAGTGTCGAACGAGTCTCGCCTCCCAGGGCCCGACACGTGGAAACCCTCAAGATTCGGTGTTCTCCTGGTGCTCGAAATCATGTCTGGTGATCGCGGCCAAAGTAGGTTGGAACATCATAACACAGGGCCGCCTCATCCAGGACCCCGAGTGCCATCTGTCGATGGCGCGCCACCAGCGCCAGCCTGAATCCGCCAACGACCCCGCCGAGGCCCTCTGCAGGCCCACCTCGCGAGGCTCCCGCCGCTCCCGCTGCCGCCACCTGCCCCCAGCACCTCCACGGAGGTGTGGGGCCCGACGTCGCCGAAGAGACGCTCGCGGTCACTCCTACCTCCAACGTACGGGCTCGTCGAGCACACCGTGCAGGTCCGCGTCGATCGTCTCCTGCACGCCCACTCCGGCACCACCTGTGCGGCCGATCTCGCCGAGCCTCGCCTCCTCCTCCCTCTCTTCCTCGAAGTCCTCCACGACGAGGCCATTTTGCCCGAAGTCCTGATCGGCCCACCGCTGTCGCTCTGTCCCGCTAGCACCGCTGTCCCTCGACACGGACCCGCTCCCTCCGCCGTCGGAAGAGCTGGAAAAGGCGGAAGGGCGGTGACGATGGCGGCGGTCGCGCCCGCGAACGCGACGCCGCCAGACAAGCATCCCCGCGCTCGCCGCCTCGAAGCCGCCCAACTGCACCTCCGTGCCCGCCTCAAAGCCGCTCACTGGCTCGCCCGCGTCGACCTGCGCCCCTGAGCCCTCGTCGGCCTGTTGCCGCTGCTGCCGGTGAAGATGGTGGCGGTCGCGCCCGCGAACACGACGCCGCCAGAGAAGCGTGCCCGCGCTCGCCGCCTCGAGGCCGCCCACCTGCACCTCCGCGCCCGCGGCGGCCGACGCCTCGATGCCCGCGCCGGCCTGCTCCGCCTCCCCGGCCGTGCCGGTGCGCACTGCGGCCGCTGCCCTGCCATCTGCGCGGGAGGGGTGCCCCGCGAGCAGCGGCGGCCGCAACGCTTCTGGGCGGCGCGGCGCGGCGGGAGGCGGCGCGACGGCCTGCCACGTCCCGGGCGGCACGGCTGGGATCAGCGCCTGCGCAGCCGCCCCGCCGGCAGGCCTCGAGGCGAGCGGCGAGCGGCCCGAGCGGGGCTGCGCACCCCCTGCTCTGGCGGCGCGCGGCGGGCGGGTTCCTGGGGCCGCTGCGCCCTCTGCGTTGGTGCCGGGCACGGGCCCTTGCGACAGCAGATCCGAGTGGCATCGCTCGTGGCGGGCCCTCGCTGGCGCCGGGGCAGCTGCAGCGCTGGGCGGGACTCCGTGAGCATTGCGGAGGTCGGGTTGCTCTCCCGACCTGAGCCCATGGTGCTCCCGCTTCCGATCGCGGTGCAGAGCTCCGCGTCCAGCGTGTCCAGCTGGACCCCCGCAAGCGGCTCCACGGCTATCGTCGCAAAGATCAGCTTGCCGTTCGAGCTCTTCGGAAAGTCGCCCACGAGCATGTCCTTGTCGAGGTGCTGGGCCTACGTTGCCTGTACCAGCACGAGCATACGAGCACCCGCCGAGCGCTGGATCATGATCACGTGCATGCCCTTGTCGAGGCGCTCCGCCTGCATCGCCAGTGCCAGTACGAGCATACGTGCGCCCGCCGAGCGCTGGATCGTGATGCTCTGGCCCACGATCATGGTGACACTCTCCGCGTCCAGGCGGAATGCCGCCATGCTCAGAGTGCGCACTGACCCCGTTGGCGGCAGCACAAGGCTCGCGCCCCCGGTCGGCACTGCAGCGTAGGGCTGCGTGCAGCCGTGGAGAGGCGTCGCGGGCTTCGTCACGGACTTCCTGGTGGGGAAACCAAGAGTACCGATACCGCTGCTTCCAGGACCCCTACCCCTCCCCAGGTGCGTTGTGACCAGGATTCCGAGGCGAATCCGGCCACGGCGACGAGGACCTCCCAGGGGGCCCGGAAAGTCGAACACGAAGGAAGGGTACCCATACATGCGACGTCGTGTTTTTTTCCGACGCGGGGTCCACGAAATCCCGACACGATCCCCAGGACCGGTTTGTCATCCCGAGGACCGTGTTTGCGAGCCCCATGCCAGCCAGGGCCCCCGGAGGCCGAAAACAGCCACAAGCCTCGCGCCGTGATTTCTTCACGACGCGAGCCTAATACTAGTCGCAGCGGTGTCGGAAATTGCCTCCCGCTGCCCCGATCCTCCAGCCGCTGCAACTCGAGGCCGCCGCGGCCCCCGCCTCCGGCCTCTGCCGCCGCGGCCGCGCCTGCCGCGGCCGCGCCGCCTCCGTCCGCCGGCGAGCGCGGCGGCGATCGCCTGGGCGCCGCACTCTGTGCGGCGGAAGGCCTGGCGCCCAGCGACGGTGCGGGGTTCCTGGACGGCGACGGGCCCCCGCCGCCGGCGCGGGGCTCGCGGCTCGCCGCCCGCGGGGGGAGGCAGTGGCCGCCGGGCTGCGGCTGCGCCGAGGCCGCCAGGGCGGCCGCGCGCGCTGGGGTGGCGCTGGCGCCGGCCTGGTGGTGAGATCCGGGCACCGCAGGGCTTTGCACGCCAGGCGCCTGCGCGTGGCTTCGGGGCCCAGGGCCATCGCGGAGCGATCCGACTCGGAGGGGGCCGCGGGAAGATGGGGCATGGGGCTCTGGTCGTGACTTTTGCACGGCGTCGCACTTGGTTCGGAACGTTGGGGTGGGCGATTGCGGAAGCCCTGGATCCGATGCGATCGAGATATCACTGTTGATACCGCCGGCCTTCCGCCGATTTCCGCCAGCGGGGCCGCCCCCGTTTGGACTCCGCCGGCTTCCGCCAGCCTTCCGCCGAGGGCGAGACGCGCCGCAGGCGAGGCCCTTTCTGGAGCGCCCCACCTGGTTTGAAGGCACGTCTGCGCTGTGGCAGCTGCTCGCGTCCCACTGATCGGTGTCACTGGTGTCGTCGCCGGACTTGGTACGCGTGGAGCCCTGCTCAGGGATGGTGCCCAGTTCGCTACAGACGCTCTCTGTGAGTGATTTCTCTCTCGTCGAGCTCCTTCTTCCCATGCGCGCTCGCATCATATGCAGCGCTACAGGAGTTCTGCTTTCACTATCTGCTATCGTAGGATTTATGACAAACCATGCCGACTGAGCTTGGATTCTCGTTCCGCACATCGATGGTACCTTTAGGACCAGGTTCTCCAACATAACCTTCGATGTCCATGGCTCTCCCGATGGCGCATGCTGCACCTCATCGCGCACTAACAGTTCCAAGCTGCTCCTGTACGAGGCGTGTGGAATCAGGTCAAGAAGATTATTGCCAAGTATACCAGCATCTTCGAGCTCAACTGAGCAAGCAACTACCTCGAAACCATCAGAGTCGGCCTCGAACAGAATGCTGAAGACATCGTCATCATTCGAGGCAGAACTTGCGTCACTCGCGTCGCAAGAATTCTTGAGTTCGCTCGTAATATGCTTTCGGATTCCGATGAAGACGGTGGAGCACTGCTTGTGGCACTGAGCTCTTGTCAGAGCTCCAACGTCGATGATTACCATATCAACATGGGTGTCGACGAAATGATGATTCTTACGAAAGCAACCTGTCGTAGTCCCAGTCGCGATGTCCACAGCACCCCCACCTAGAGCTGAGCACTGCACGCGCACATTGCTAATTATTCTGGCATGCTCGCTTTCCCGCGCGGCCATGTCCAATACCTCCGCGACCCGCTGTTGATCGACACCATACGGCATTACATCGCTCAAGGTCACGCCCTGCATGGGAACACCAAAGAAGTGATCCACGGCCTGCCCACTCTCGACCACGTGCCAGTCATCGCAATTGACATCGGTGGCCCTGGTGATGCGAGTTTTCGTTTCACCACTACATGTTGTCTGCTTAGCGCGCGCGCTCTGCAGTACCAAGGTAGAGTCAAGCAGCACACTCATGACTTGCTTCAGCATGTCTTCGGATGCATGCGCAACGCTGACAGCCGCCTCCTTCGAAAGTTCGGTGAGCGCTGCAACTTTCCATGAGCAGAAGATGAGCCAGATATGCTGTAGTATAACACATAATTTGAAAGCGGGCTCCGGCTCGCACATGGCGATCGCAAGGAAGTTCAACAGTAATAGTTGGCATGCTTCCTGGACATTTCGTGAGACTCCTAGACTTAAGTATGCAGGAACGAAAAATAAATGACCCGCTCTAGCCAATGGATATGCATTGTACAGCGGCATGCCTACTATCTGAGACGCAAGCGCCACGTACTTGGCGACATCACAAACGACTTCATGAATCACGCCGACCTCATAATGATCTCGTGCGCGTCTAACCCAGTAGCAAGCCCACGCATCAAGCGATAAAGCTGCAACAGCAAGGACACAAAGTGTGCAAGCTAAGGTTGTATTGGCTGATGGGATACATGCACAACAGAAAATGGCACAGGTAAGACTGGGCCATCGGATTGTACCGAGGGTGATTATGGACTGCACTGGAGCTTCATCACTGCAATTCCAGAGCAACGAACTCCAATTCATTACCCCCGCCAAAGGCTTTCGCGGCAAGAGCGATGCCACTGATTGGTTGTATACGATATGGTGCACCTTATAAGTCCGGCATGTTAAAACGTTCGACAACACTGAAGCCAGGCAATGCGGCCACCTTGAGCCAGAGTCCACAGAGCCACGGCGTGGCATCAGAGCCGCGGGCACGATCCTTTGTCAAACGAAGAGCCGTCCGTAACACGACGCAAGTGCTATTGACTCGTGTTTCCAATATCGACCTGCTTACCATCTTGGTCACGGTACCGCCACCAGGTGTGGCGGGGCAAGGGACTTCGAGGAAACTGACCTAGCTAGTGGCACCCCTCTCTCGAAACCTCCGATCCATCGGCAGAGGCACGGCAAGGGTGGGGCAAAGACACACCAAGGCGACGTCCTCTTGCTATGTTGGCGTCCCGAGCCCCCAATTCAACTTATTGGGGCTCCATGCGACGTGGCGGGGCCACACCTTGCCGCCGGTGCAAAGGAACGACAAGAAGAAACGAGGCTCACTCACCCACCCAAACGAGGCCAGCGCGACCCCAAGCAGAGGTACTCTCTGCTAAAGTCATGCGCAATGCAAAGCAACGAAGTGTAATGCAATGAGGTGCCATGCAGTGTAAGGCACAGCGCAGCATAGAAATGCATGTCAAAGCACAGCCTACACAAGCACCGCGTATCATATATCGGCAGGCGGTAGGTAACGAGCAGATCGTTCCATTTGAAGGTACGTCGTGCAATGCTGGAAGTGCGCGCATGCAGCTTCGCCAACCCTCCTCCCCAGCTGCATACATGCAGGTTGGGCGCCGCCAGATTATCACTAGGGCCTGACGCTGTGCTGATCACATGCCGATTTTCGAATGAGTTGCCAGATCGTCGTCTTCATCATCATCGTCACCCTCATCCTTATCAACATCTGCATGTTGCTTCTGCATTGTTCCTCTCTCCTCATCGTCCGCATCTGTTTCTCTACTCCTCCGTGCGTGATGGCGATGAGGAGGAGGATTGAGGAAGCGGAGGAGGACGGGGTGGGCTCCAAGACGCTCCGAGAGAGCTCCAAGCTGGCAAGAGAAGCCCCCAAGACGTCCCCAGGATGGCCCGAGGAGGCCACAAGATGGCCCAAGAGATCCCCAAGGCGGCCCGAGAGGCTCCCCAAGAGACCCTCAACAGGCCTCGAACAGCTCCCGATAGGCCCACAGGAGGACTCCTTCCCCGCGTGTTCCACCGGTGTCCCTGACAGTTCGGGGAACACCCCAAACACTAGCATTGCCACACTGACGCTCAACATTACACCACACAAACGCTTCAAGAAGGCAAGGGGGCGGCGGTGATATACGTCCGTGATACTGGTAAATCGACAGTGCCATCTCCCCCCACTTCCTTTGACGACTGCAGTGGTGAGATGCCCTACGCACCTGCATGCTCAGCGCCCAGGGAACCTCTCGAGCGAGACTGCCAACCTTTGGGAACGTGTATGCGCACAGTCACGTAATCCCCTCCCCATGGCAATGTCTCACGCATGAGCTCCCCAGTAGATGCGCATGGTCGTGGGGCATGCTAGGAATGGCAATCCTTTTGGTTATAAAACTACGACAGAATCAAAGGAACCCTGAGGGACCTTCCTGAAGATGGGATCCTAGGAATGGAACGCCAGGACGTGGGCATACATGCAACTGTTCTTCTTTCTACTGCTACAGTTTGCAGCCGCAATTGTATTGATATGTGCGAGTGCACGCAACCATCATGTGGACCTGGACGAACGTTGGAGCTGTGACCAGCGGGAACCACCTTACCGCCTGGGGTTGCCAACAGACCAGACCCATCAAATCCCAGGGACCACTACGCAGGCTTAATCGGGACTGCCGCACTCTTTGGAGGGATCCACGAACAAACATCTGCACGGACAGCCGCCCCCGAGCCGCCACGGGGCCACCACGACCACCGCACAAAAGTAAGCGCTATGACAATCGTACCCTCACCGTTATCGCCAGAGCAGACCGACGTCCCGTCACAAATGGATCGGCGGCTAGCCCAGGGGGAAGTGAAGTGGAGCAGGCCTTCTCAGAAGGCTCGGAAAGTCTCGGGCCTTCTGAGAAGCTGTATAAGCCTTCCCCGAAGACGCGGAAGTCTTCTCAAAAGGCCTGCCCCCTCTCACTTCCCCCCCCCGGCTCGCAGGCTCCACGCGTAGGATCCAACAATAAGAAAGGACCAGAGCGAACCGTCGGCAACGATCTGCTCAGCTGCGCCTCCGCCTCGAAAGCAGGAGTGGCGGGCGGGCTCGAAACACGAGGTGGCTAGGGTGCTGGAGGGAATCGGGTCGGAACCCGACCCGATTCCCTCCGTTTGCTAATTATTCCTCTACTTTCGTCCGACTGTCGGACGAAAGTACATAGAGCAACAAAAAGCTTCACAAACACGATTTCCCGAAAGTCCGCGCGGAGCTCCCAAAATCACAGGTTCCGCTTCCTCTCCCTCGAGGTTGGGTCGGGGGCGACGATGGGGGCGAACAGCCCGGGGGAGATCAGTACATGTATCCAGGGTCGCCGATGATCCGTGTCGTCGGCGAGGCTCCCAGGCGAATCCGTGTAATGCCCGCCCCCAAGCTATTCGCTAGCACGGGGGAAACCAAAAGGCACCAATACCGCTACTCCTCGCACCTGAACCTGGGGTGCGTTCTGTCCAGGATCTCAAAGCGAATCCAGCGGTGGCGACGAGGGCCT